TAAGCTCAGAGTGATATCTATGCGATATAATCACAAAATTTATGCACAACGGTCGGACACATACTGCACAACAGGGTGCACAACGGGTTATATGTTTAGAGTAATAGTTTTATTTCTAATGATTTGAACATTCGATTTGGGTCAGAACGTTGACAGCAAACTTTACTGAGGCGAATAGGACATTTGTTTTTGCGTTGCCTGGATGATTTGAGAAAGTGGAACGATGAAGAATCTGAAGATAGGGTAATTGAAGACGATGATCGGAAATATTCGAATGTGGCGTGAGAGGATTAGACAGTACTAACGTAAGTACCAATTTCATATTCATTGTGGTCAATTATTCTAAAAGTAATTAATTAAATCAAATTAATGAATGCTGAATTGCGTAGAATCTGTCGAAAGTGAAACCGGTGAACCGGATGAAGACTCATAGACTGTAAGCCGCAATGGGGTTATCCGTCGCCAGGATTACCATGTAGGGGATATCGTCAGACTTGGTATACCAGCCCCTGACGGGCAGAAAAGATTACTACTGTGCAAGATGATGGAAGTTTTAGATAGTGGATGGTATAGGCTGGGCTGTAGTCTGGGTATACAAGATACTCATTATCAGGCAGCTGGTTTAGAAGTGGTTGAAGCAGCGTATGGTGGACTGGATGGCATTCCAGAAACAACTATCTCGTTAACAGTGCTAGTAGGAGACAGAGCATAGACGAAGACATCAATGTAGAGGGCCGATATTCATGCAAACAATGATTGTATTAATTATTGAACGTTTAATATTAATGCTGCATCTCATGTTATTTGTTATTATTATAGTTTATTATTTATTAAAGACGAATAAACAGCTACTATATTTTAATCCTTCATGTGTTTAGAATAACTACTTATTTAAAAGAAGCATCATCGCTGGTGCAATCCAGTATGTGATAATCAACCCGATTTTTTTAGTACTGACTTTCCCATAAGAAAGTGCAGTAGAATATGCAATAACTATATATTCTCCTTTGTGTACAAACAAATGATATTAATATCTGTCCAACAGTTGTGCATAAATTATGTGACAACATCGAAATGAATATCACTCTGAGCTTATTTCGATTTGGGCCAACCCGATTCCGAATTTCGATTTGGGTCAGAACATATATTAATATATTAATATTAATATTGTGGATTATGTGATTAAACACCGATCAATGTTCCCTGCAAATTTTAATTTTACTATTATGTGATTAAACTGGAAAGAGTTTTATCAAGATACGATTAAGATAAACTATTGGTGTTTTGTCCAGAAAGAGTTTTCAGTAGACATATTAGTGATTGCGCAAAAATAGAGCGATGTCATCCGAATATACAGGAAGGAATTGACCCCTCGTAATTTGATGTAGATGCTTTGGAAATTTCATATAATATATCACAAAGACTGACCGCCTGTAAAATTACAGCTCGATTGAACGTCTCCAGCAAAATTTTCAGACCTCAAGCATTTACCTCTGGACATATCATAATGCATGCACAATTTTTCAAACTCGTATCTCAACACTTTTTTTATTCTGCAATGTTAGAAGGCGTTCTGAACGAATTACTGCGCGTGGTTGTTATTACAAACGCAAAGAACATGATAGGATTGATGTCATACGCGTTTAGTATGATAACAAATTTCCTTCAAATTTGACCAACCATTAGAAGAGTGCATAGATATGTTGACAAAAAAGCAAAAAAAAATTATGCAACCGATTAGAAACATGTAGAGATATATGTTTTCATATGTTTTATAGACAATATTGAACGTTTAAAATATTCGTAAGTGACATTTAATCGAGCTGAAATTTTACAGGCAATTAGTGTTTGCGATATGTAATATGCATTGAAATTATGAGTGGTCAATTGCTTATGCACCTTACTGTCAACATATTAATATGTTATTATTATTATTATTATTATTATTATTATTATTATTAACACATTGACGTGGATGGATAAATTACGGTGTTTGGAGGATATTGCACGTGACCTGCGTATTATTCATCGTATGAGATTAGTGCACTGTAATCTTCATGGTGGAAACATTGTTGTGCATATCAGTATTATTTTTGGCAATGTACGTTCATTCATATGCGACCTTGGTCTTTCACAATCAGTGAATTTACGCGAGTCAAGTCCAAGCATTCGAGGCGTTTTGCCATTTATTGCACCGGAAGTCTTCCAAACCCGCAAATTTACTCAAAAATCGGATGTGTATTCATTTGGTATTATTCTGTATTTGATTGCTACTGGTGAACCACCATTTAAAAATTGGTCGTTTGACAAATGTTTGGCGATACGTGTTTGCGAGGGACTGCGGCCGTCGATGCCTGATGCTGCACCAGAGGAATTCAAGAAACTTGCCGAGCGGTGTTGTGATGCTGATCCTGATAATCGTCCTGATGCAGAGACACTTTACCAGCATATCGTCAAGCTGATGATCAAGCGGTTTGACAACGTGTAGCATACTATATATCATACTGATGTAACACCTTTATCACGTCTCGAGAAAGAGAGTAAATATTCCAGCACACTTGTACGGTTACATGTTGATACAAATAAAGTCAACT